GAAATTTTTATACTTTATTTATTTTAATAAAATGTAGCACCTTAACTGTATTTACTTAAAAATATACATACTGTAATTATTTTTTTGTGGATTTTTGACACATTTTGGAGAAAAAACTTGAAATCCATTAACACGGTGAATGGGGTTCAACAAGTGATGTTGGGAAACCTGGAGAGATAAATGCAAAAAAATGAAACTGGACCACTCTCTTACACCATATACAAGAATAAACTCAAAGTGGATTAAAGACTTACATGTAAGACCTGAAACCATAAAAACTCCTAGAAGAAAACATAGGTAGTAAACTATTTGACATTGGTCTCAGTAGTGTCTTTATGAGTATGTCCCCTTGAGCAAGGGAAACAAAAGCAAAGATAAACAAATGGGATGACTTCATGAAACTAAAAATCTCCAGTACAGAGAAGGAAACCAACAAAGCGAAAAGAAAACCTACTGAATGGGAGGATGTTTGCAAATGATGCATCTGATAAGGGGATAATATCCAAAATATGTAACAAACTCATAAAACTCAATAATAAAAAATAATCCAATCAAAAATAGGTAAAAACGTGTGTTCCAAAGAACATATACAGATGGCCAATGGACATATCAAAAGAAGCTCAATGTCATTAATCATCAGGAAAATGTAAATATAAACCTCAATGAGCTATCACCTCACACCTGTCAGAATGGCCACCATCAATAAATTGTTAAACAAGCGTTGACGAGGATGTGGAGGAAAGGGAACCCTGGTGCACTGCTGGTGGGATTGCAGATTGGTGCAGCCACTATGGAAAACAGTATGGAGGTTCCTCAAAGAATTAAAAATAGAACTACCTTATTACCCAGCAATTCCACTTCTGGGTATTTATCCAAAGAAATCCAAAACACTAACTCAAAAAGATCTATGCACCCCTATGTTCACTGCAGCATTTACAATAGCCAAGATACAGAAGCAACCCAGGTGCTCATCATTAGATGACTGGATAAAGAATATGTGGTAATATTTATACAATGGAGTGTTATTCAGCCATATAAAAAAATGACATCTTATCATTTGCAGTAACATGGGTGGACCTAGAGGGTATTATGTTAAGTGACATAAGTCAGACAAAGAAAGACAAATACCATATGATCTCACTTATATGTGAAATCTAAAGAACAATATAAATGAATAAACAAAACAGGAACAGACTCATAGACACAGAGAACAAACTGATGGTTGTAAGAAGAGGGTGGGGCAGGGAGAGGAAAAAGGTGAAGAGATTAAGAAATACAAATTAGCAGTTGTAAAACAGTCATGGAGATGTTCAAGTACAGCATAAGGGATACAGTCAATAATATGGTAACAACTAACTGTGTGGTGTCAGGTGGGTACCAAACTAATCAGGGGGACTACTACCTAAATCATACAAATGTCTAACCACTATGTTTTACACCTGAAGCTAATGTAATACTGAATATCAACTGCAATTGCAATAAATATTTTAAAAATCTAGATGGTAGACTATGAGACAGACTGAGGCTTTTTTTTTTTTTTTTCCTACCTGTTCTCGACCTCTAAGGTCGTGGGTCGGACCAGTAAGCGGTAAATTGCAGGAGCACAGGCCGACTGGAAATGACTGAGTGAGCACAAACCAGCAATGAACCTGGCTGGAGGCTGAGTGGGCAGAAAAAGCCTCCTGACAGAGACCAGGGAGTCTTCAGGTGACATAAAACCAGTCTGCGGTCTGACCTTTCTTTGTATCCTCTATCTCAAGGGTATGGAGCATCTGCTACACTGAAGATAGACTTTTAAGTTCCTGGCCTAAGAGCAGCCTCAAATAACAGGCTCACTTTACTACTGCAACGAAGACCTATATTCTCAAAAACAAAAGTTATCTTTCACTGCAGTCCTGCCCCCTTTTCCCCCCAGCCCCATTTAAATGGCCCACGCCTAAGAATTCCATATGATATGACCTTGCTTACTTGAAGAGGGGTACAATGCAACAACATTCCACACTGGGAAGTTATGTGAGCACACAACACTCCTGGGATCTTCCTTTGATGCCAGCTACCTGTACAGAAACTCCTGCTTTGAAAATGCAAGAGGCCAAATCTTCCTGGTCCTGCTCTATGGTGGCTGAAAAAAGCATTGAGGCTTTTTTATAGTTCCCCTGTTCCTAAAAGTGTCAGTGTGGGACTAAAATTGCTTTTTAAGCAAAAATATCAATCCTGCCTATAAGGAAGCTCTATGTCAGTGGCCATGTTTGTTTTGCTCATCATTTTATGCCAGCACCTAGAGTTCAGTGCCTGGCACAAAGAGCACACAAGAAAAATGTAGGCAAGAAGGAAGAAAGGAAAAAACAAGAGTTTTTAGTAGAGTTCTTAATTTTCATGCCCAAGTGAAAGTTATTTTAAAGCATACAGTTATGCCTTTGATCATTAATAAAATAATAAGAGCTACCATCAAGGACCATCCTGACCCAATCGACTGAAGGTCACCAGGGTTTGACAAGGTTTAACAACAGTCAGTTTACTGGCTCACTGCAATGAGGGTGTTGCCCCAGGGCTCCTTGCAAACATTTTCCTTAAGACTCACAACAACCCCAAAGGCTGTATTATTGCCCTAATTTTACTCATCAGGAAATTAAAGCTCAGAGAAGGGTTCTTCCTCAAAGTCACATGGCAAGTAAATCACTGTCTATCTAACCCCAAAACCCTCCCAGAGCAACTCCGAATACCTACCCCAGGCCTGCGCCAAGCCCATTAAACGTTCCTCAAGACACCGTAAGCCAGGGGTTCACAAAGTTTTCCTTTTTTTTTTTAGCTACAGGAGGAAACTTTGCTTCAAATAATATCTTACTAAAACCATAAACAAACAGATGCATATTTGAGGCACAGGACAATGCCCTCCTTCAGAACTGCCCTTAGCCACTAGGACAAGGCAACAAGTGCTACTGTATGCTTTAAAACATTTAATTCAACTTAACCACAAAGGCCCCCTGGGTCTGGACCTTCTCCCCTTTCTCAACACTGAAATGCTGGACAGCTCCTTTACAAGGTGGGAGGGCGGAGCCTCTCTTTTGACTCAGTAATGACCCACTACTGCACAGTTCTGCAACTCCTGCATTCCTCTCTTCAGGAACAGCAGAAGAAAAAAAATGGAGGTTGGAACGGGAGGGGGCATTCAGTGAAAGGTATTTATGTGAGGTGGCCAAGCCCATGGCTTGAGTTACCACAGCCAGTCTGCGGTGAGGTCAGGGCAGGAATGAACCGAGAAGCACTGCAAATGGCCTTTAGCATCACACTGAGCACTTAATGGACTTCTCTTTTTCGCAAAATTAAGTGGATTAATGACATGGTGAGATCGCAAATATGATTAAGAAAAGACTGATTAATGTCATAAAGGATTTGCTAAGATTCTACTTTTGGTTTAAAAAAATAAGGTGATATAAATGAAAATATCTGTGTAGTTTGTAAATTAAAATGACATATAATGTGACTGTTTATTTCAGAGTACTTGAGGCCTGAGATAGAAGGATGATTTTTGCTATGTTGTTCAGCCCTTCCTAGCAGGGTCTGTGTCAGTGTCTGGCCAAGTGACACAAAGATGGGGACAAGGCCAATTTCTGCAAGGAACCTCCATGGACATACAAGCCCAAGTCCAAGCTGAAAGGCCAGCAGTGCATGGAGCAAGCTCCCTATGTGTGAGACCCTGTGCTGGCTCCCAGGCCACCCCAGCAGCTGTCGTGATCCTGGCAGGCCACAGGTGCATCAGATGCTGGTCGATGGTCAGTGCACCCGCTCGGCCCCCCTTTCCTAGCCACCTGACAGCTGGAGGTGGCCTTGTGATCCAGTTCTGGCCAGTGAGATGTAAGCAGAGGTCAGGCAGCTGGGTGGCACTTCTGGGGAAGTTTTTGCCTTACTGCTGAAAAGGGTCACTCTCAGCTGACAGACCCTTCCATCCATCATTCTTATTCCTGTGGTCACCAGGACCACAGCTGGTACATGGAGGCCCAGCTCCCACCTTGAGACAATAAGGTACTAAGCATGAGGATGACAACATGTGAAGGAAGATGGCATAGAGAGAACAGAAAGTGCCTGGGACCTGGCAACATCTGTGAGCAACTGCATCAATCAGCTTTGGACCATCTGCCTCTAGACATGTCAAAAGAACCACATAAATCCGTAACTATTCAAGTCACCAGAGTTGGAATTTTGTTACAATCCGTCAGATGCACACCTAATTGAGGCTGTCTGGTGACTCTGAGATTTCTTTTATCTGAAAAGAAATTATTTCTACTGGAAGAAATAGGGTTTTCTCCTATTAGACTAGTCACTGCTCCCAACACACACCCAGAATTGCCTCACTCGAAAAAAGTAACTGCCACACACCTCAATGTATGATCCCAGAGCATATTAAAGAATTGTACCAAGAACTATATGTGTTTAAAAGAATAGAGTACTGGGCCGGTCGAGTGGCATGTTGGTTAAGAGCTGGCTTGGGACGCCAGCTCTGAGCAGCGGGGCCCCGGTTCAGATCTCACATGACGGCCAATGACACTGCCTTCTACAGCTAAGATGGTGAACAACAGCTCGACCTGGAGATGGGCTGCTGTGAGTCGCCGGCGACGGTGTAGGCTGCAGTCCCTGCTGCAGTGGGTTGCCCTAAACTACCGTGTGTGGCCGGCAGCCAGCGTGAGCGGCCCAGCAGCCTGTATGAGCTGCCAAGAGCTGCTGTGAGCGGCTGTCAAGAGACTGGCGACCGATCTGCCTCACCCGGGAAGAGCGCAATGATATCAACATGGGCCAGTGAAGCAACATCCTTCACAACTAGACAGAAGAACAAAAGGACAGCAACTTGTCTGTTCCCCTTCCCCGACTCCCCAACACTGTTCCCCTCCCGCAATTCCCCAATAAAATCTTTAAAAAAAAAAAAAGAATAGAGTATAAAGACATGCAAGGTGTAAGAGCACAAAAGCCCAGGCTATAGAAACAATGTATCTTAGTGACACTACCTTAGAGACGCTGCTGGGATGACTCATGGAATGTCCCAAAGTCTTCTCATTCTGCAAGAAAACAAAACAGGTGTTAAGTGTCAAGAAAACCAAACGGGGAATTACAATGTGAAAAGAACAAGTAATTGATCATAACAATCATACTGACAAATCATTTTTTCAACTGGAATTAGCTATTACATGTACTGGGCCAGCACTGAGATACTGGAGAATTTAGCAAACATGAGTAAAACAACTGTCCCTGCCCCAAAGGCACTTAAGTTAACAAGAAAAGACCAGGAATTTGGAATGAACTGTAAAAATAAGAGGATGACAAGAGTCTTATAACACATTGAAGTGGAGGTTCTGAGGCAAGAAACTGTACATTCAGTTGTGTGTGGTGTGTCCATGCTGCGAGGAGCTCTTGTAGGATGGGGACAAAACAGCAGGACAGCTCAGCCACTCAGATCGTTTGGCTGTCAAAGTGTTGGGTACTCAACATGGATATTGCACAGCTCACATCTACTCCCTCAAGACTGATTCTCCTCCTGAAACAGAGAAATCTCAGCCACGCTAGCCTCCTCCCTTTCACACTCCTCCAGCTTCAGTCACAAAGTCTTATATCAATTGCTTCCTCCTTAAGGTCTCTCAATCTCTAATCTCATTTTCATTTCTATTGTCAAGGCCTTAGGTTACATTCTCTTCACTTCTCATTTGGAATTCTTGAATAACTTTCTACCTGGTCTTTCTGCTTTTATGTTGACCTTCCTGAGACACAACTGCTATGGACTGAATTGTGTCCCACTAAAATTCATATGCTGAAGTCTTAACCCCCACCCAGTACTCAAAACATGACTGTATTTGGAGATAGTCTTTAAAGAGGTAATTATGTTAAAATGAGGTCAGGTCATTAGGGTGGCCCTGACCTGATATGACTGATGTTCTTATAAGAAAGAGATTAGGACACAGAGGGAAGACCACATAAGGACACAATAAGCAGCAGCCATCTCCAAGCCAAGGAGAGAGGACTCAGAAGAAACCAAACCTGCTGACACTTGGATCTCAGGCTTTTAGCTTCCAGAACCATGAGAAAATTCATTTTGTTTAACCAACACAGTCTGTGGTATTTTGTTATGGCAGTCCTAGCAAATGAATACAATAATCTTCTATATTACAACTTTCTTAAAAAAAACCAAAACATTCCAAATGTAAATCTGTTTTTTAAAAATAAGAAGGTACCTTTCCCTGAATCCACTCATCCTTTCATCCTTGCTCTAAGCCCAAATTGAGGGCAATGATCTCACTTGTTTACTTGTATTTTTAAGATAATTTTTTCTCTAGTCAGTTCATATGGTATGCAATAACCATGGGGAAGACCAAAGAAGGATTTTACCTGTGATCAGTCAGAAATCCTCTGATCAGTCAGAAATGCAAAGGAGCTAGTGGATCATTTACAAACTCCTTTGAGAAAGAGTTGATCCCATTCTGCCGAGTCTCTCCTTAAAGAGCTAGCAATCAAAAAAGTTTTAACTTTTCCTTTCCCCTCAATCCACCAAATCACAGACTGCCTTGACTTCTGTACACTTGGTTTCTGAACACCCAACATCTCTAACATTCTGATGAAACATTTCAGGATCTCCCACGTGGCCTGCCGGCTGGCACTTGTTTCACAATGTTGTCTTCTTTGTGTTTAGAGCAATGTATTTGTGCAATTTCTGGGATATTTTTTATTATATTCTCTCATTGTATAATCTGAATCTGAGTGGAAAAAGAAGTTCAGGCCTCTTAAGTATAATACAATACAGATAATGTTATGAAGTGTTTTGCCTCAATGGAATGTTTCTTGGTCTTAAGCTAGTCCAGTAGATAGTTATAAAGGAAAAGAACAAAATTATAAAGTATACTCAGTGTTGGCAATATGGTACCAAAGACTGTGTCTAAAAGACCTGACTTAATTAGTAATTTCATTCAGTCATCTTACTGACACATCCACTCACCAGGAATGGAGAGTCCCTCTGTGCACACAACAGGTAAATCTACAGCCATTTAAATTTCATTCATGTGTCAAGAATGTATTACGAACAAAAACAGGGTACTGTGGGGTCGGCCGAGTGGCACGATGGTTAAGAACTGGCTTGGGACGCCAGAGGGCCCCGGTTCAGATCCCACATATGAGGGCCGGTGACACTGCCCTCCACAGCTAAGATGCTGAACAACAGCTCAACCTGGAGCTGGGCTGCTGTGAGTCACCGGTGACTGCGTAGGCTGCAGCCCCTGCTGCAGTGGGTTGCCATGGGCTACCGTGTGTAGCCAGCAGCCAGCGTGAGCGGCCAGCAGCCGCGGTGAGCGGCCGTCCAGAAGCCGGCGACTGATCTGCCTCGCCCGGGAAGAGCGCAGTGATGGTGCCAACTTGGGCCAGTGAAGCAACGTCCTCCACAACTAGACTGAAGAACAAAAACGACAGCAACTTGTCTGTTCCCCTTCCCCCAATTCCCCAGCACTGTTCCCATCCCCCCAATTCCCCCCCAAAAATCTTAAAAAAAACAACAACAACAGGGTACTGTTGTGATCCAGGCTTAATGGTTCATCTACTGGAGATTCACTACTAAATTTGGATTTAGTCTATTAAATTAAAACAATGATATTATATGCCTTGGATTATTTGTACAGAAAACCAATTATAACCACAATTACAAGAAATGGCCAGTTTAACACCATCTAGAAACCTAGAAGTTCTGAGCTACTAAGAGAAGCAATAATTCATGTCCTATACTTTTCTGACATTCATTATTCCATAGAGAAGGAATATTGGGGTGCAGAGAGGCCTAGAAATTAAGGTAGATAACATTATAAACCCAGACTGAGAACTAGAAGTTTACCTTATGAACTTGAGAAATAAATTTAATGCTGTAAGCCTTTATTGTGTTGTTAGACAATGCAGCATTTTATACCGGTAAAATCAAACAAATAACTAGGCCCAGAAGATACAGATGTTTTAAAGCCTGAAACCCACTGGTACTTCAGATGGCTTCTCCATTACTTGGTAGGAAATTAACAATTCAGCTCCAACAGCCATTTTTTTCCCTTAAATATTGCTACATTTATTTGGATTTACTGAAAACTCTAAGAAGTTCAGGACTATAACAGACCTATTTTTCAGGAAGCAAATCTCAGATTCATTCAAGTCAGTTACTCATAAATTCCATACTTTTTTACTGTGTGACTACCATATGCAAACAACTGTATCAGTCACAGAATATGGACAAAAATAAATCTTTCTCCTAGGCCTATTTCATGATAATGTTACCACGGAACTGCTTTGAAACAGTGTTTTGATGAGGTATGTACAAGTAGGGAAAAGTTGAAGAATGACATAAAAAAGCACATATATAAACTACATCAGGGTAGAGTTGGTGACACCATTCTTTGCCAAGGTCAGATAGGCATGTTTCTGAATGAGAAGGAAAACTTACCAAACATCAAGAACTGGAATTAGGCATACCAAAGAAAATAAAAGTTCCATTCCAGTTCAAGCCAAAACTAAGCTTCAATAACCAAGTGATGAAACACTTGGCAAATTATTTTCATACAGTCTTTAATATGTCATTGCTCAGTGGATCCCATCACTTTGTAACCCAGGAAGAGATGAAGCCTCACTCACTCACTGCTGGACACAAACACTATTATTACCCTTCCACCTCAGAGAAGGCCCCAGGAGATGCCTCACTGTGAAGCTACACACTTCCCTGGAATGCTCTCTTATCCATGTCTCTGGAGGGCTCTTTTTTCTGCACTGAACATGACAGGTCCTGAGAACACAGCTCCATGCCCTCTTCTCATTTATTTTCTCCCTTAGATCAATGCTTCTGAAAGGTTTTACACTTGAATCAATTAGGGATGATCTTGCTAAAATGCAGATTGTAATTTTCTAGGTCTGAGGCAGATTGAGATTCTGCATTTCCAATAAGCTCCAGCTAGCTACTCCCATGGTCCCCAGACCACACTTTTAGATGCAAGTTTCATTCCAAATCCTGGGCCAGAATAATCCATAATGACTATGATTCATTTTTTTAAAACTGAGGTATAATTAAATATGACTCATTTTTAAACAAGCAAATCATGACTATTGTAAAAGTATGTGTAAAAGATGGCAGTGCGCTAACAATTGAGTTAATACAAATAAATCAATCAGGAAACAGATTGATATATAGACTGAGACAGACTAAGTTTGACGGTGTGAGAAAAGTTTTGTTAATGTAAGAAGTTACCAAATCACAAAGATACAGAGCTCCGCTGAAGAACAGGGGGTATTTCACAATTTAATCAGTCCTGTCAATGTTTTGCAAGCCCATGTGTAGCTCCAATAGAATGTACCATGGGGGTAGAACCAAGCCACAGAGCCCACAGAGGCCAAACGTGCCCTGGAAAGTAGAAGCCAAAAATGAACAAGAAGACAATGAGGTGAGATGTCTAAGCAAGTTTTGGGGATTCTGTATAAAGGAGTCAAACAACAGAACTCCATGTAGGCATTTCCCTGAAGCTGACCAGGACCAGTCATTAATCAAACAAACAAGCAAATGAACACCCCCATGTGTAACGGATGTTGCTAACTGTCTACCCAGTACCCATCCCCACCAACAGAATTCCAACTTTGCTCTGAGCAGCAACAGATCCAACTAAAAGTTCTCTCTCTCACACACATTATTTTGCAGTTAAGGGTAAATACGTAAGAAAGTTCTCTGTAAAAAAATTAACCTCAAGGTTTTCTGGGAAAACATTTTGCTTTCCTAATATAACCAATGCTCCTTTCTTCAGCATTCCCCCTCCTCTCATTCACCCTGGAATACAGATAGATATCATCCCAGGTACAGCAGTCACCTTGGAGGAGAAAAAGTATATACTAGAAGTCTCAAGCTTTTCGTCTCAGGACTCCTTTTTAATATAAAAATTTGAGGATTCCTAAAACCTTCTGTTCATATGGGTTATATCTATTGATATTTACCATATTAGAAATTAAAACTATTCTAAAAATATGAATCTCTTAATTCATTGAGAATTAACAATAAACCCAG